GTAGAAATGCCCACACACCAACCAACAGAACTCTAGCTGACACATTTAGACACCTCCTCCTTCCCCCTTCCCAGTCACCCAGTCATCAATCATCTCCCAGCTGGTTATCTTATCCTTAAAAGAAACCTCTCTCACACTCCCTCCTATCACTATCACAGATCAGCAAAGCCATCCCCATCCTCTTTTTCCCCTTTTAAAGTTAATATTCTGGAATATCCTGACCTTGGGAGCACTGTAGACAAATTCAGCACATCTAAGATAGTTCAACCTGTCTCAGTTCCCCAAAATAACTGCCAACAGAGGCAGAAGTTAAACATACACTTCAGCCTTTTTTTTGTCTAACAGAGATGATGTCCTTCTCTCTTTGCTACCAAGTGTAGCTTCTGGGTCACCCCATATTGTCTATGTCCTGAGTTGGGAGTGTGATCCCTTAGGTGCATTATTCAGAAGCAAATCTAATTTGTAGAAATCGTCCTCTGAAATCCAGGAATAAACTCCTGACTATTTTCAGACAGAGATAGAGGTAGGAGTCTGTAGAAATGAGCTAGGAAGGAGCTTAAAATACTTCACATTCCAGAAACACCCTCCCTTCCCCCAGGAGATGGCTTTATTCCCACTCCTTTCTCAGCAGAGTTGACTCAAAAGAGCTGAAGCTTGGAGTCAGGCAGCTGGTACTAGCTGTGTGGGCTTAGACAAACGACTTAAATGTCTCTGAGCTTCAGTTGGCTTCTCTGTGAAATGGGGCTGATGGCATCCTGCTCTCCAGGTTATTGTAAGAATTAAGATACCCAAAACTACTAACATTCATGCCTGTACCCATGGGTCCGTACTATTGTACTAAGCGCTTTCAACAATCTTATTGAATTCTTTCAAGGTCCAATAAAGGGAGATATGTCCTACAAACCAGACCCTTGACTAATGGCCTCAAAAAAGGAAGATAAATACACTGGGAGTTTTAAGAAAAGAGTTCCAATAATCCATGTCAGTTTTACCGAACAGCTTCTTAGGTTCTAAGTTTGTTACCTATGTGCAGTGGGGGACTAAGTGGAAAAAGCTTACCTGATAGGAGACTGGGCTTGGGATCCTGATTTTGCTACATGGCTTTGAGCAAGAAAACTCTCTGGGCTCCAGTACCATCAGGCAGATATTGTTTACTTACCAGGTTGGAGGGTCACAAGAGGGTCACTTTGTAAATGTGAGGAATTAAGAGGAGCTTTTTGACCCTACTGAGGCTCCATAGGAATCTAGGTGGGCAATACCAACCCAAGTCCCATCTGTAAGGAGGAGTTAGTGGAGGCGTCTTTCACCATGATGCTCATGGCCATCCTGAACAGCAACTGTTTTCTTTTCAGTCCCAGATGGGGCCCCTTGGCAGCAAGACTATCCCACCCAGCACACATATGCCTCAGAGTTGCTGGTCATGGGACATTTGCTCCATTTCATCCCAATAAGTGGCAGGCACAATAGCCCCAAAGAGAGAGTTTCAATGAGCAGTTAAATGATAGAATTCCATGTTTACCTCCTCCACATACCTGATGCTAACAAACAAGCTGTTCATCATAATGTAGTGACTAAGACCTCTTGCTCTGGAGATAGGCAGAGCTGGTTTCAAATCACAACTTACTTACAAGCTTGTGAATTTGCATAGCTTTGTTTACTCTTAGAACCTCAGTTTCTTCATCTGTAGCCCTGACACATGGTTGATATGGCAGAGTGTTCAGACATAAGCAGCGACCTATGAGGAACAGCTATTACTGAATTCCCCTCTCTTGCATTTACAGCAAGTTTATGAGAACTGTGGGAGGAAAATGAAGCTTAAACTTTATTTCATTAATTAAGGGAGGAAGAATGTTTTTTCTGAGACAAGGTCTGGCTCTGTTGCCCAGGCTGGAGTGCAGTGGCGCAATCTCGGCTCACTGCAACCTCTGCCTCCCAGGCTCAAGCCATCCTCCCACCTCAGCCTCCTGAGTGGTTGGGACTACAAGTGTGTGCCACCATGCCTGGCTAATTTTTGTATTTTTTATAGACATGCATTTTCGCCATGTTGCCTAGGCTGGTCTCGAACTCCTGAGCTCAAGCAGTCTGCCTGCCTCAGCCTCCCAAAGTGCTGGGATTACAGGCATAAGCCACTGCACCCAGCCAGGAGAAAGAATTTTAGAACTATCTTTCTGTAAGAAAAAAGTACATTGCAACATAAATTCTCAGAAAAATGTTTAAAACACGTCTTGCAGGAGGTCATCATACCACTAAGATAAGAGTAACACCATCCTAAAGAGTATAAGGCTTTATAGTTTAGAAAGCAGTTTAAAGTCTACCACTTTATTCAATACCTGCAAAAACCCAGTGAAGTAGCATTTATCCCCATTTTACTGATAAGGAAACTAGGACTCAGAAAGATAAAGCTAAAGGCCGCAGAAGTAGTGGAGCCAGGATTTCAAGCCTTCTAAAGTACAAATTCAGCACTCTTTGCAATTCACAAGAGAATTCCGTGTTCACTGAGTACTGAGCCTACATTGTTTCAACATGTCTGAAATGGCATTTCAGGAACCCAGAGTGGAATGACCAGGTTAGCAACATGGTTAGAGAAATGCAGCCCTCTGGATCACTTGTGGCTACCCTGAAATAGCTTTCCGTGGTTGAGGAGGACTCAGGTGGCATAAGCTGCCCCCACTCTGACATGTTTGAGAAATCTTTTATTAGAAGATGTCCCAGAAGGCAACATTTGAAAATCAGGCAATCAATAATCACAACTAAATACAAAATTTCAGGTGAACTTGCCTTTCAAAATAAATCAGACCCTTGCAATGGGAGAATTGCCCAAGAGTTTTTTTTCTTGTACAAAAACAGTTAACACCACTTTGCAAAAGGCATACAAAAATACAATATAAAAAAAAAGACTCCCCCCAGCAGAATATCCAACAGCAGCTTATAAAACACAAGCTATTCAGGTGAGACATCAGTAAGCTACACCCAAACTGTCTGCCATAGACAGTTCCAGAAGTCAGCTGGCTTTTGTAAACCATGCTCCAGAAGGGTAGAGAGGCGATTTCCAAACATCCCCTGGGGTCCTTTGAGGCCAAGAAGCAACCTCAGAAAGAAACCATTATGGACAATAGATTTGGAAGTAGCAGCTGGTTTTCCAGAGCCACATATAGTACTTACCACCCCTTACCCACCCCAACTTCCAAACCCAGAGCCAGCAGGCACCTGCTGTCCTGGGCAGAGTTCTGGAGGGACTGCTGGTCCTTTTTCCAGGACAGGCCTAGAGGTGCCTGAGGTTACCCACATGACAACTGCTAGGTTGGGTGACTTCTCCAGACCGGAGGCTGCACGTGGATTCCACTTGGAGCTGCCGAGTCCAGCTGGGGTAAAATCCATCATGGTTGGCTAAGCATATCTCCTGGAGGCTCCTTTAAAACCCACCAGAAGCAAGTCCACCTTCTGGAGCACTGGATGAGTCCCAACAGCTCCCCCCAAAACTTCAGAAAGGCCCAGATTCTGGAAAAGAGATCTGATTCATGGCAGACTGGCGGGGGCCCAAGGGTGGCTGCAGAGCCAGCAAGCTCCTTGGAGTTGCATGAGAAGGACAGATTTGCATGGTTCCAGAATTTCAAACTCGCCGGTCAAGGATTGAGACAAGAGGCAGGTGGGAAAGAGGCAGCAGTGCCGTTCTCCCTCTGAGGTGTCTTACACCTGCCTTGAGAAAAGATTGGACCTCAAGTGCCCGTCGGAAAATACCTGGGCAGGGATCAAGTTCATGCATGAGCCAGGCCTCCAAGCTATCCCCAGGCCCCAGGCTAGGACCCATTTCCCTGTGTCTTGGGGAAATATTTCTGACCTGTGGGAAAGGGTGCTGTAGAGCCCATTGCATAACAAAGGCATAATGGAACAAAAAAGTCCCTTGTAAGGAAAGAAAGGTCCCTCCCTCAGAAGAGAGAGCTCAGAGGGCTCTGAGACAAAGAATCTAGAGGCCAAGCTTTTTAAATGTTCCCAGGGTCGCAGCATTGAGAGTGGGAGGAAGGGGGTCAGCTAACATCATAATATATATATTAAAGGTTTCCAACTCCTCGGCTACTGTAAAGTGTCTGACAGTGAGGTAATGGTCCATGTTGATCAAGTCTGCGAGCCTGTCTTCACCCAAGACAGCTCGTGTGTCTTCGGGAAAAAGGAGCCTCAGGGAGAGCATCCAGGCCCAGCTGTCCTTGCGTCACCCCAGAGACACCAGTTGGGAGCATCCTTTCCTAGCCTAAAGCTCATGCAGAGTGTGAGATTTCATGCAGGCTGGAGCCCCTGACAACATCCACCACCTGTTGCATAGCATCTGTCAGCCTTTTCTTCGGAGCTAGCGAGCTAGGCAGACCCCAAGGCTCCTCAGTCAGCTGCCTGCTGGGAAGCCAAAGGCGCCAGAGAACATACAGCACTCCCATGAGTCAGGGAAGAGGGAGAGCTGTGTTTCAAGGTTTCCAAGAATGCAAGCCTTTATTGTGTGTGCACCGGCTGCAATGCATTCTGGGATCTACTGTCCAGACTGTCCCACCATAACCAAAATGTGCAAATTACTAAAGCGGAGAAGGAGGTTAAAAAATAAACTTGTGTCTTTGTAAGACAGAACTGTCAGGCTTTTTGGTCAGTTAGTAGCCACTGAGGTATGCAATTCTTTTCTGCAATTGCTGCTGCCGGCATCGGAGCTGCCTTTTCTCTGTAGCCATCCTCTTCTCAGCCCCTACCAGGGCTTGCAAGTATTCCAAGGCCTTGCTTAGGATCACTACTTTGGGGGCCTTAGAGCAACTGGCCAGGGTGGGCACCTGGTCCCTCAGGGCCAAGAATCGCGAACGCAGGTCATTCCGCCTCTTGCGCTCCAGAAAGTTGTGGTTCTTCCTCTTGGTCACATCCTCAGTATCAGAACTGACAGGTTTGGGGTGGCAGGACTGGGCAGCCTCACTTTCTACAGGTGGGGGGCTCACAATCTCTTCATCCTCCTCATCTTCCTTTTCCCCTGCAGCATCTCTCTCCAGAGCCTCTTCTTGGGGACCCCTCTCTGAAGCCTCTTCTTGGGAGCAGCTCTCTGGAGGAAAACGGGCAGCATAGTTGTGCTGTTGCTGATGGATGGAGATGTGGAAATGCTTCATGCAGGGATCCAGGGGGTCTGCTCGCACCGTGATGGTGACCGGCTTCCGAATACCCAGAGACTGCCTCTTCTCTACTGTCACAACATCGATTTCTTCATTCTCTGTCCAAGAAAAGAGATCAAGAGAAGAAACACATCCCATGAGAAACGTAAACATAGACCCTACAGTTTTAGCTGTCTATGCTGGTGCTTGGGAAGGTAGATGGACATTTTTCAATTTAGATATAAACAAATCGAGGTGAGCAGAAAGCTGATTCATTTGTAGTGGGGTAAGGGCACAGTGAAGGAAAGGAGGGGACATTAGCAAGAAGGAAAATATTCTCCAATTTCCTTTTGCACAGCAAGGCTTAGATAAGAACAAAAGGCAGACCCAAGCCAACAGCCCCCAGTCTGCAAAGGCTCTCCCCTCCCCCACGGAGGGGATGGAGAGAAAGAGCTACTGACCTGGGACAAAGTTTAGCTATAAAGATCTTCCCCAGTCGGGCTCTTTCATGACCCATCAGAATTGTAAATGAGGGGTCTGTGGGCAAAGCTGCCCTTTGTTCCTGCCCAGCACAGCCTGCACTTGGGGAATTGTTACTTTTCACAAGTTATAAATCCTATTATTCCCCCACCTCTCTATTCTGCCATCCCTTTCAGCTGAAGATTCAGAGAAGGGAGGGCTACAACCCATCCCTCTTCACCCACAGAGGGGAGGGAAAGGGTTTCCCTTAGGAGCATTTTGCTCCTGGGTTCAACGGGTTTCTAAAGTCATCCATCATTTATAGGTCACCTGCCCCACCTCCTTGCCTGGACCAGAAGGTTAGATTTGTAATCACAGGTCGGTGAAGCTGCAGGAACTTCACAAAGGTACAAGCGACCATTTCCAAACTACCTGCACCAGAGGCGGAGACTGGGCAGCAGAATGTCCCAGATATGGGGCCCAAAACACCAGAGACCAGGAGACACGTGGACATGCCCTTATCATTCGCTGGCTTGAAGGTCTCTTAGGTTAACCTAACCAGGAGAGGGGCAATTGGGAGAAAACTCTCCTCCTGCTCCACACATTTTGCGGCCTCCACACAGAAGCCCACCTTAATGGATCTAGGCCTCACAACCGAAGAGCTCCGTTCTCAGCTTCTTTGCATACCAGGAAGCTTGAGCCCCTTTGTCGGGAAGGCTTCCATTGTGTGGACAATCGCATTATTTCTCCATTAATAAAACCTGACCACTCAGCCCTCCTGGCCCCAAAGCCCATGATTGGCTGATTACGCTGTGTTTGGAATGCTGTCTTACCCAGCCCCTAGCCTCTATTGGATGAGCTCTGCTGCCAATCACTTTCCCCACCCCCCGCCTCATTGTTTGCAATCTGTTGCATTTTGTTCCAGGCCATGTGGCCTGTGAGTGAACCAGAAGCTCACAAACAGGTTCAGGTTAAAGGGTAGGTCAGAAAAGGATTCAGCAGGCTTCCCTACATCCCAAACCTTTAATTTTCAGTGTTAAGTCTCATGGCTCAGGAAGATTCTATCTAAGAAAGAAATAATTTAAGACACCATTCTCCCTTTCAGAGAGTAGTGTCTTACTCTACCCAGACAAGGAAATGTCTTCAGCAGGACAATCAAGTCCAACCCCATTGTGCGCAAATGGGGAAATTGAGGCCCAGATCAGCCAAGTCCACATATCACCTTTGTAACTTTCTGGATCTCAAACTAAAACGTCCAAACTTCCAAAACAATGCTCATTCCACTCTACCACTCCACCAGCCGTTGTACAGATATATCTTTATTGGTTTTTTGATCTCAAGATTCTTTCCAGCCATCAAACAAACATAAACGCTCGGTGTAGAAACAAGCCGGTTAAAAACGACCTTAACACAGTGGACCAGGAAAAAAAAAAAAGACTTTTAATTTTTCTTGTTATCCTATTTTTCCTCTCAAGTGTATGACAACTTCCATACCCCATTCCCCAGTTCCCTATCGAATTGTCATGTAAAAGTTATTCCTAAAAGCTACAGTGAGTTTTCTTGGTCCTGATTTATTTGTCACCAGCCTCAGTCTACACTCTACAAAAATACCCTCTCCAGTATTTCTCATGGGTGTGGAGGTCTAAGATGCCAGAACAAGAACAATGTAGTTTAGTGGCACAGGATGCCCTAGTCTGCCCTCAGTGAGGTTTGCCCTTGCATCAAGGATGGGAGAGGAGGGCCTGGAGCTCTTTGGCCTTGACCCCAGCACGTAGCCCAAGGTTGCCACAAAGTAGGGGCCGGTGAATATTTGTTGAATGCAAGGGAGCAGCTGAAGCTGGAGATGTATTGAAAGGGAGCGAGAAGGACACTTATCCATCTTAGGACAAACAGCAAGGCAGGGTGTAGTGCCTCTAAGATAAGCTACCACAAAGACCCAAACATCAAGGAAGAGGTGCCTGGTTGGGATGGAGCACTGGGAAAGAGGGGCTGGCTAGATGGCAGAAAGCTGGAGCTGACTTGTAGTGATTTTCTATCTCTAAGCCTCAGTTTTTCCATCTGTTAATGGGGAGTGTTCATTCTTCCCTTCCTGTCTCAGGGATGCACGAGTGGTAAGTGGTGGTGGGGAGGCACAAGAGGTCATTTATTATTGGCATTTTTAAGTAAAGCCAACTGGAGACCTAGTTTTTTAAAAGGATGGGCTTTGGCTTTGCACAAAAGGCTCTCAGCTTCTTCTCCCTCTAGGGGAGTGTGAGTTTCCCAGGGAAAGAGGCAGCAGCAAAAAAACTTCAGGCTTGGAGTGACTCTTAAGGGATCCCCTTCCGGACTCGTTAGGACAGAAATCCCTTACAGTCCAACCCCAGTATTGTCCTCTCTAAGCGCCAAACCTCACTACATATCCCTGGTCCCCTGGGGCTCCAATAATCATCAAAGGGACGCTGGCTCCCACGCCACTTCTCCAAACTGTTTACCAACACACCCACGTGCCAGACATACACGGTTGGGGGCTACACGGGCAGCTTCAGCCAAAGAGAGGGGGAGATGGCCCAAGAGCTTGAGAAGAGCCAGTGCCTGACCTCAGGCAGGGGCAGAGCTTTGGCCACCCATGGGGTGGCCCCCTCTTGGATGTCTCTGGGAGGTCCTTACCCGAGTCGCTTGGGCTCTCGGACCCGGAGCAGGCCTGGGTCTTGGGTTCGCCCAGCGGACAGGGGGCGGCGGGCGCCGGGTTGCCGGCTTCGAGGCTGGGAGTGCAGTCCGGGGCGGCGGACGCCTTGGGCGGGTTCCCCCGGAGCGCGCCAGCGGCGAGCCGGTCGCTCACAGCTCTCTCCAGCCGTTCCCGGGCCGAGAAGCCGCTCCACATGCAGTCGCGGCGGATGATGGAGGCGTAGTTCCTGCCCCAACCTTTCGAGTGGCCCCGGGATTCCGCTTCGTCCCCGGTGCACCCTCCGGGCCACGGCTCCGGGGGACCAATCCCGGGGGCCGGGTCCCCTGCGCCGGGACCCAAGCCCCAGGGCGGCGACGTGGGGGGCGATGGCACCAGCTCGAATTTCTTCCAGATGTCCTCGCTGGGCGCCGTGGAGCGGTAGAAATCCTCCCCGCAGTCATAGTCGTAGAAATAGTGCTGGTACGAGTCGTAGTCCATGTCCGCTCCCTGCGGGAGGGAAATGGGGACGTGCTGACCGGGTGCCGGCCGGGCGAAGGAGGCGTCCCCGGGTCCCTCGGCACAGCCGGCTGCCCGGCT